AGGCTCCAAAGTCTTTGCCAGAGATCTGTCTGCCAGAAAGAGCCAACTGTCAAAGCTGAAGACAGAATGTGGCAGCATCGTTTCCGGGGCACCTGAGATTTTGAGTGAGATTGGGAGGTTCTATGGGCAGCTGTACACGTCATCGTTGGAGCCACACGCGAGTGTGAGTAACGATCCAAGAGCGAGTCTTATCCGACATTATTCCGTTGATATCCCGGACGTCAGTCTGAGCGAGATTAGAATGGCTCTCCAGCACCTTAAAAACGGCAAGGCCCCAGGCGCGGATGGAATTACAGCGGAGCTTCTGAAAGCGGGTGGAAGTGTGTGCCGGTTTCTTGAATTTTCTTTCGAGAGCGTTCATTATTTCTTCAGGTTCACACAAAGTAAACAACAATGACTTAACCGATTCCTTTGCGATGCCCTTTAATGCCCTCCTAAGGCGTGCTACGTTCTTCTTCGTCTTCAAACACCGTTTTGAAAATTATCCATTCACCCGGGTCTCCATCGAAGACCGGTAATTCCTGGAGGAAATGAAGCTTGGAAGACTTATCTTTCCCTGCTATCTTTATTGCACTCACAATCGCGTCGGTCAATTCTGACACCTCACACGCGTGTGCCTTCTGTGCACCTAGGAAAGGTTGCGCTCGACCTCCGCCCCTTTGCGGCGTGATCCCTTGGACGCTCCCTTATCAGCAGTGTCGGGTTGCGTTACACTAACCGGCGCGCTCATTATGGTCTGTTGAATCCAACTCCTTACGAAAGGTTCCACCTGAGTATTCCGCTCTTCATCATCCTCTTCCCGGTTGAGTCGTGCCAACTCCAATTGACTTGGCTAAAGCAGCAGCTGCTTCTGCTCGTTCGAGCTCTGAGCGTTCGAATTTAATCCGCGCCTCCAATTCGGCTTTCAGCGATCTTCGCCGATCGCGATGACCTACTACCTCCCTGTGATCCTTTGTCACTAGTCTGCCCCACCACTGTTCGTATCGATGTCTCTTCTTCGGTTCCTTGACCTACTTTTTCGACTATCGTTTCGCTCCTGGATATAACGGATATCTGTGCGGTGCTGGTCTGCGTACCACTAGAGTCCATCCTGTTGCTCGTCGTTGTCACGGACGTTCCTGAGTCCCACGTGCCTGTGGACGTGTCGGTGGTGGCCCCACCTGAAGGAGTTGCCCCATTCGAAGCAGTAGCTGTGGTCGCTCCAGATGATTCCGCCTCTTTAGCTTTTCTTGAGAACCCTGTCCTTGTCCTGGTTCCATCGATCGTCTCGGTCTGGTCTTGTGCCTTCTTCATCTTGCAGGAAGGTGATTGTTGGCCTACGGTCCCTAACTGTCCCTACAGTCCCTACGGTCCCTACAACCCTACTACACCCCAACCTATAATCCTACTACCCCTCCCCCTCTTTTTCTCCCAACCTACAACCCTACTCCCACCCTAACAGCCCTATCAGCCCTATCAATCCTGGACGGTATCACGGTAGGCCCCCTACCGTGGTGAGCCGTCCAGGGATGGAGTCGTGCAGGAATGGAATGGAGGAAAGGTTAGGAACTGTTCCGCCAAGGAATATGACGGAACAGCCGAGCTAGTAGTGCAAGCGCAGTCTCGCTCGAGAGAGCTGCTCCACCCGAATGTGTTGTCCCAGAGCCCGACCGATTTGGCACCGTTAGGGGGTCGGGATGTATGCTGTGCTCTCCGCCCAGTCGCCGGTGACGCCTCGTCCAGGCACCCTCCTCCGGCCGTGATGCAGTCAGGTGCCCACACGAGCATCCTCGCCTGGCAGCAGCGATGGATGCTTCTTCTTCTTTCTTGCACCCTTGCCTGGCAGCAGTGAGTGCGTCCTTTTCTTGCTTGCACCCTTGCCTGGCAGCAGTGAGCGCTCCCGCCTGGTAACAGAAAACACCAAACGCCCTTGAGCGCCACAGGAAATGATAGACACAATCCCCGTAGAGGAATGCCGAGCCTGATGACCCGACAGGAAATGCCGGACACGGTCGTTGACAGGAAATGCCGACTATGGTCGTCCAGCAGGAAATGCCGAGCACGGCTTCCTTCGGTCGTTGATCTTCACTCGGCTCCGAAGGTCCACTTGAATGGTATCCAACAGCTGGTTCCTTGATTCGACTTCAGAAGGACCATTAAACCTTATCCAGACCACTCCCTCCCATAATTCAGACAATCAAGGGCCAACTGAGAGGTCTTCCTTCGGCTGGTCTTGGTCTTGAATTTCCAATGACACCTACGTTGGGTTCGGGCGGTCAACGAGGCGTATGTGAACCCCGTGAAGGAGTATCACAAGAGAGTGTCTGAAAAACGTTTCTCAAAAGAAAGGTTCAGACGGGGATTACGGTTCTTCCGAGGTCGCCCCGGTCCCGACGTCTTCTTATGCTGGTTCTTCGATATGTGCTTTGCTAGCACCTAATGGACTGTAGATTAATTTAAAGGTGAAGGATCCCTCGGGAATAAAACAGCAATTGTCTTCAAACCGCTCCGTGAGAGTGCAATTACTTTCCTTATCACTTCCCCATATGTTTTCTTTCTTGATTATATATATTACTGGTAGCTGGTCCCGAACGATTTGCATGAAGACCAGTTTAATAAGGTACTTCAAAGCTTGACTCGAAAGAGAGCCAACCCCTCTGTGCGATTTCGCAACTCAATTACATCAAATTTCTACTAACACACTCCCACGGTTTGCCCAATATCTTTATTTGTATAAGACATACATTTATACATTTTATTTATAAAGATAGCACAACAAAATATCTATACTATGATATGCATTACATTTCAATATCACAAAAAACCTTTTATTTATTCAACAAAATATGCCTATTTTACAACATATGCACTAAGTTAGAATTCTTAAATATCTAACATATAAGGTTGGAACAATGTTCTTTATTTGAAAATACAAATATCTTAACTAATACAATAGTTTAATTCACCTTTTTACACATATTTCACTATTTAAAACACTTTTAATTTTCTTATACAAAACTATCATCATCATCATATATCATCAATATTTCACTATTTTAGAGGAATTTACATATGTAATTAATACAGAATTTACCTATTTTGCTTATACAGTCAACCTGAAACATTTTATAAGTCAATTTTACATAAATTGCTGAAATTTACAAAAACTTAAATTTCCATTTATTAGCCTCCTAAATTGCAAATTAGCGCGCGGCTATTGTCTAGCGCTAGGTGAACAACTAATTCTTACACGACTCTCAACAGGTCGATAAGGGCCAGTGAAATCCTTGGTTAGACAGCACCTGTCTATGTTTAATGAAACACCAAGATTCACAAACAATGTTCTTATCAGTATCATGTTTCTTATCTGATAACACAAACAAATATTTTCATGAATTAAACTCAACTTACATAAACAATTATTATGCAATGTTACTTTACATTAATTCCAAAACACAAAGTGATCATTTCAACCGGGGAATGCATCCTGGTCTAATCTTATTTTAATATTTCTTTAAATCGATAAGAAAACAATGGAAAGTAATTCAACCGGGGAACTGAACCCGGAATCATGAATTATATCGTAAAGATTCCCTCTATTAATTTATTAAGAAAATATTACTAAGAAAACGACAAACTAGTCCGACCTGGGAATCGAACCCAAGACTTTAAATTATTAATTTAAGATTTAAGTAAGCGTTTTCTTATAAGACAATTATTGCTTGATAATTTATTTTTAGAAGCTATTCGTAGTCGGTAAACTAATAAATTGAAATATTCTTTATAGGCGCGTCGCCAACACATATATTTACCGAATAATCTTAATTTTATTATTGTAATAAGCGCCCTCTGTTATCCAGTAAATGATAACAGAGGATACTTGCTGTGTTGATGTTTAACAATACAGCAAGTCTTCTCTTTTACATACCAGGCTTTATTGTTTGGTGGTTTTACACCGGGCTTCATTGTCTGGTGGTTTTCAAGGACAAAGCCATTTTAGATTCTCGCTTACAGTGATAGGAGAGGGCTATAGGTTTCTTACATTAAAAACAATTTGTACTGTTAAAGATATTAGATGCAAGAAGTTGTACGTTAAGCCTGAGTTAGAAAATAAGGTAAAAACTTAAAATAACAAGTTGATGTGGGTAGTGTCTTTAAGCAATGTAGCTGATGAAACGTGAAAAACCGTGAAACGGCTTTTAAGTTCAGTGTTTTCCTAAAATATTTTAGATTTGAAGTGTTTTTTTTTGTAATAGAAACGAATTCAAAACATAGAGGCGCTCTCTTATTGGATTTGGCGTTTCTCGATGTGTCTTTAACGCCGACCGATCAATCATATGCTTTTATTAAAGCAGCTAATGGACCGAGTGACGTCATCCAAGAAGCCACTACGGTGACAACGACAGTGACTGCTGTTTGAATTGATTCTTAGTTATTGAAAATTAAATATTTTATTTCATGACACTAAAGGGGCGTATAAAGTTAATATGATTTTTTTCGTGTAATGGAAGTCATGATAAATAGATTTATACAATGAAACAATCATGTATATTCCCTATTATTATATCGAAAAGCATTTCAAACTTAGTAATCTTCAACAACATTATCGATACTTTGATATCAAAACGGTAACAGTCCTAAAACGACGTTATATTTATTAGCGTCACCTACTGGGTAATAGCTACAATGTTGTCTTAATAAATGCTTAGCGTTGTTTTGCTATTTTTAGCTAGAGAGTGCCACACGCGCACTAGCTCAAAGTTTTTGTATATAAATGTTCCCAATGCCCGCTCTATAGTATACCTATATATTTAGATCTCTTTGTAAGTACATTTTCTTTAATGCAGACATCACAGATGTTCAAATATGGGCAGGTTGCTTTAAAACTTTTACATAGAAGATATGACGAAACCAAAAGTATATTTTAGGTACTTTAGCGTATGTATTTATTTTTAGTTGGTTTTTGATATATATCAGAATTAAGCATTTTCTAAACTAAATTAATAAATTTGAATTTGAAGGCTAACTCGATCATCCCACCTCCGTACTCGTGCGCAAGCAACTACGAGGAGTGCGGTGCGAGGTGTGATGCAGGGTGCGCGGGGTGCGCGGGTTGCGCGGGGAGTGCGGAGACCGCGCGGACGGAGGCGCGCCGCACGGCGCGCCGCGAAGTAACCGCTGCCTTTCGCGAGAACCTTATCACCTCGCCCGTGCAGCCGCGGGTGAGCATCACCACAAAGTACTTATAACGCAATGAATGTTCATTACAAAATTATACTTCTGATAAAAAATCAAACCAACGAAGCCAGAGAGACGATGCAAAACCATTGAAATAATATGTACTACATACTAGAACAGACACAGTACCTTCTTAAAGCAAAGACCAAGTAAGTTTGAACTCGTGGGCTCTAACGCGTGTTACAAAGGACCATGTGACAGCGTCTCTTTTAGAACGTAGTACATATTATTACTTCAATGGCAAAAAACAAGTTGAGAACATGCTTAAGAATTTATTGTAAGAACACACACTCACGTTCACATATCTAAAGTCACTTGCAATCAACAATATTGTTTTAGGTGTTTATGTGTGTGTCCAGTCGTGAACTTTTACGAGCTGATAATAAAAAAGAGAAAGATGTGCGTGTTAAGAGGTTGAATAATATGGTTTCGGCATCACTTGAAATAAACGCAAGGTTCTATCTATCTTAGAAATTAAATAACCATGAAAGGAATAAAATAATTGCCACTTAATAGTTTCTAAAGTTGGCACTAAGGTTTCAAGTGTATTGAAAAATTTTATTCCCCGTTCTTTTTAGTTCTTTGAAGCTGGTTTTTCATTTATTATTAAGTTTATTTTATTTTACCATTTTGAGTGAACTAATAAAATAATGTTACAAGCTCAAGATAACAACTAAAATATTATTAATAGAATCAGGCTGAGATTAATGATAAGTCATCGCGCGCTCTGACTAGATACCGCCGGCGCTCATGTAAAATGCGGCAACTAGGGATGTCCACTCTGAAAATACATCGATGTTTTTTTTCGATGTGATGCATCGAAACTGTGCATCGATATATTCCGATGCATCGGTTAAAAACATCGATGTTTTTTCAACATCGAGTACTTTTTCTGACTTCAAACAACCAACAATTTTGAATGATCTACTACTCTTACATCAGTACTGTCTGCCCGCACGCCTTTTGTGAGTGTGTATGTGTGTTCAAGGATTTTAGTTCGATAGATAGATATACTTAATTGCATGACACACAAAGTGTCTTATTCGTAAGAACTAATATATTGTTAACAGACGTAAATATTCATAGTTATTTATTTGTATTATTTATATTTGTATGTTGATGTGTATATATGTATGTATACGTCTGTATGCATATATTTGTATATATGCATAAATAGGAGATATTTCTATAGTATATTTGTTTTATATATTTGTAAATTTAATACATAACTTAGTTAATTATCATTTTTATTTTGTTATTATTTTATACTGCTACACCTACGTCAAATTCTCGTGGGTTGACTGGTAGATTATTTTTTTGTATTATTCCCTTTGTATTCTTTTATATTAAGGAATGCAATAAAGAATAAATAAATTATTATTTATGATCATTCACCTACTACTAAATGGACGGCGGATCTCGAATAAAATTCACGAAAAATGTGTCCCGAGTCAACCTATACAAACGTATTATATATATAATTTTACTTCCGACAATTTATCAGCCTTTTAACTTCAACCAGAGGCTGCATTCTTTTCGCCTTATGAAGCTTCTAGCGAAAATTATCGGTATGGTTTTTTGTTTTTACAATTAATGTGAATTTAAATTAAATACTACGTATCTTGTATCTAAACAAAATATTATTTTTAAATTATTAAATATTAATATTCTAATATAAATAGTATCGAAAAAATATATTGTTACGCGCCACTATTAATGTCTTGTACATGGCAACACTAGTCACACTAGCGCCCTCTAGTGTCGAGTAGCAGAACTAGGAGAGTCGAGATCCTTCCTGAAATTTCGGGACCGATATGTACTCGAACATTCTAGATGTCGCTACAGTAGAAGATTCTGGAACTATCTGAGGCCCTATATAAGGCCGGTATAGACCACGACCGAGACAGTATTGAATTGGCGATACAAGAGAATACTTCGAAGCGAAATAACGGCGAACTGTGTTTTATTATTAGTGTGATTTTAGATTGTAATTAGTGTTGTGTAATTAAAGTGTCAATTTTGGTAATTCAATCGGCAGTTTTTAATTGTCTCGAACCCCAAGCTCGTAACAATTGGTGTCAGAAGTGGGATCAAATATGCCGATTTTACCTAAAGACGACACCGAGGGTATCCGTACCCGAAGTCAACGCCAACAGGAGACGGACCAGAAACGATTTGGTGGTGCAACGTCACAGACGTCGGCAGGCCAGTTGCCGATCACGGAAGCCGGCCCGTCAGCAGCTCCTGCATCTGCAGCACCTGACTTAGGTACTCTGATGATGATGCTGCAGGAACAAGCTCGACGACAGGAGGAACAGGCCCGCCGACAGGAGGAACAGGCTTGTCGGTTGGAAGAGCAGCTGCAGCGCGGACAGGAGGAACAAGCCCGCCAACAGGAGGAACAGGGCCGTCGGTTGGAAGAGCAGCTCAAACGCGATAAGGATGAGCAGATACTTCTCATGAAGGACCTTCATGCTACCTTCGGGAAAGAAATAAGTGAGGTGAAGGATAAGGTTGCTCAATATGACAACCGCCTGTCGGAAGCTGAAACCCGAATCGACCAAGTGTACAATCGGGTTGACAATGTGATGGCTGACGTGAAGAAAACGCTGAACGACCTCAAAGTTGGGGATGGAGTTACAGCTCCCGTGGTAGCTACAACACCTTCGCTACGTGGATTCAAAGTGCCACCGTTCGACGGGACTTCTTCCTGGTCGGCCTATAAAATCCAGTTCGAGGCTGTCATGAAAGCGAACGGCTGGAATAAAAGTCAGGCCATGACTGCTCTCACCCTAGGCCTGCGCGACCAGGCATTAACTGTTCTGGAAGCTCTCGGTAAGGAAGTGACTTACGAGCAGCTCCTTGAGGCATTGGAGGCGAGATATGGCGACGCTCACCTGGAACACGTCTTTCGTGCGCAGCTCAAAGATCGCGTGCAACGCAGTAACGAAAACCTGCAGCAGTGGGCCCTTGAGGTGGAGAAGCTGGTTCGAAAAGCGTACCAGTCTGTACCTGCGCTTATTGTAGGGAACCTGGTGCAGACATTCATCGACGGCATCCGCGACCTTGAAGTCAGAGCTGCTGTGAGGCTCGGGCACCACGAGACGCTTAAGGACGCCTTGACCCATGCACTGGAGGTGGAAGCCGTGCGGCAGGATCATCGTTCCCACCGCGTCAGGGAGGTTGCAGCAGCTAAAGTTCAGGACCGCAATAAAAGCTACAGCCCTAGGTGCTACGGCTGTGGAGAAAGGGGCCATCTTCGATCCAGCTGCCCTAAGCGAACTGTAAAAAGGGAAGGTGATCGATCTCGAGAGGGTAGTGCGGATAATAGCACCGCCCAGCAGCAGCAGGGAAACTGGCGGGTGCTGGCTGATGTTAAAAGAGCCCCAAGGATTTCGATCTCACAAACTCATGATGGGAACAGCCTAATCATCAAGGGCGAAGTCAACGGAACGCCATGTAAACTGACCATAGACACTGGAGCCTCTCGCACGGTTGTCAGTTCCCAACTTATAAGTCGGTTCCTTGGCGACTCCGCATACAACCGAGAACGCATTAATTTGGTGACAGCCACTGGTCAGCGCATACCCGTCCGTGGAGAGAAGGAGATGGAGTTGAAGCTAGGCAACATGATCTACCTGCATAATGTCATCGTGGCTGATATAATGGACGACTGCATCCTGGGCCTAGACTTTATGAGGAAGAATTGTTGTGAGATCGACGTTAAGCAAGGTGTTTTGAAATGTGGACAAGAGGAACTTTTCATGGAAGGGGCGTTACCAGGGAATGTGTACAGCCTTAAGAAGATTGTTCTTCCGCCGAGATCAGAAACAATTGTGCCGGTTAGTCTTCCTCGGAGTCCTGGGCAAGCTCATCGTTGTGTACTCGTGGAAAGGGTAGACAATGACCTTCCATGGAAAGTGGCTCGAACCTTGGTCAGAACCACCGACATCTCAGGAGTACGTGTGTTGAACCTTTTTGATCAGGAACAGATTATAGAAAAAGGCGCATTGGTTGGTACTAGTGAGGAAGTGGATTGGTTGCGTCGGTGCGAATATCTATCGACCGGGACCCCTAGCAAGGATGGACAAACGAGAGTGACCACACTTTTAGAAGACTGTCGCAGCGTTCTCTCCCCGAATGAAATGGTCAAGGCGAAGAAGTTGTTACTCAAGTACGCCAATGTTTTCTCGTCAAACGAAGCTGACATAGGAAAGACTGGCTTAGTTCAACACAAAATAAACACAGGACAAGAATTGCCTATTCGTCAGCGGCCAAGAAGATTGCCTGTAGCACGTGAAAAGGAAGTGGAAACCATGATTCAGGGAATGGTGAAGGATGGTGTTATTGAACCTTCATCTAGTCCATGGTGTTCACCTGTGGTGCTGGTAAAGAAGAAGGACGGCAGCATGCGGTTTTGTGTTGACTACCGCCGCCTGAACGACGTTACAAAGAAGGACAGCTATCCCTTGCCAAGAATTGATGACACGCTGGACATGCTTACAGGCGTAAAGTGGTTTAGTACGCTGGATCTGAAAAGTGGCTACTGGCAGGTTGAAATTGACCCTAAGGACAAGGAGAAAACTGCATTCTCCACAGGAAAGGGCCTGTGGCAATTTAAAGTCATGCCGTTTGGATTGTGCAATGCTCCAGCAACGTTTGAAAGGTTGATGGAGCTTGTACTTACCGGGCTAATTGGAGATGCCTGTCTCGTCTATTTGGATGACATCATCATCGTAGGCCGTACGTTTGAGGAACACCTTCAAAACCTGGAACGCGTGCTCATGAAGATCCAGAGTGCCAACCTCAAGTTGAGTCCAAAGAAGTGCTCACTATTCAAACGGCAAGTTAGTTTTTTGGGGTATGTAGTGTCGGAAGAAGGTATTCGCACGGATCCAGAGAAAATTGCTGCTGTCAAGGAGTGGCCGGTCCCAAAAGATAAGACACAGGTTAGAGCATTTTTGGGTTTGTGCTCTTATTATCG